GATTCTATGATTCTATGATAAGAACATAAGTTATGGGTAGGTGGTGCACAAACCAGGTGTCGAGAATCTCTAATACAGTCCCATTTTCCCCTAAGCTGATATTGTATCCTGCATACATTTTTAAAACTAGTGTTTTCTGCATGAAAAGGTCATCTGAAATAGGCATTTAGTTAAAACAGAAGTCTCAATATTTGTCATGCAATTCTTAAGGCTGGAGAAGAGAGAACCAGGCTCTTGCTACTGTCAGTACATCTGAGCTACAGAAGCAGGAGCTTCTGAAATATACATAGATCAAAGTCCTATTAATGCTGAAAAACATCTTTACCTTTACAAAGTAATTGCCACATTTTATGAAGTAGCCAACTAAAAGACACTTTATTTTAATCCTTACATTTGAGTACACTAAGTAGCAAGAGTGTGTTACCTTGCTGTGGTCACGTATCTGAATTCAATTTAAAAAGCAAACAGAAAAGCTGTGTTTGGCAAAGAAAGGACAGAGCACTGCCCTCAGCCACCTACTTCTTTGTAATGCAAAGATTGGAAATGTAACAAATGTATATGTAAATACATTCGTATATGTAAATGTATATGTAACCAATCCTGGCCTTTTGTTTAGCCTGCCAGCTTTCTATACTGATTGTAGCTTCCATTTATTTTGTCTCAATAATTCAATTGATGCACCATACACAGTCACACTGCAATTCTACAATTTTAATAACTGTGGCAGAAATCACTCTAGGGACATAGTAAAATCTTTTGGGATTAGACCACTTATGTACGGCACCTGCCTAAAACACTACGAAAGCAATGACATAAAAGTAGTGCTATATAATTTTGCAGTTGGAGGAACAAATATAGCCTCAGTTTTAGAGAGGGCAATACTATTAAAGCGGTCTTAAATATACAGCTACTGAAGCCATCTTAAAAATTTATTTTTCATTTCACAGTAAGTCTGAAATACCATTTCTCTCCTACTTTCTCACCGCATCTCAGAGTAAAACCAAGAAAACTGTTAAGTCGCTATAAAACAAAGGTTCCAAGATTAGAATTTTCTTATGTTTAACTGAAGTAGACAAAAAAAAAAAAGTAAGAGAACCCCCCTGCCTTGGTTTAAGACTCACAACCTTTTTTAATAAAGTTGTTCCAGAAAAATATCTGAAAAGATCTATACCTAATAAGCATCGACCACTTTGATATCCTACCAAAATACACCATATAGGTCTCCCTGAATTAACAGTGATATTCCATATAAACATTCAACTGATTAAAGTTTTATTTCCCAGATCTTTTAAAACAAGCAACAAAAAAAAAAAACACCCACACACAAAAAAACCAACCACCAAGAGACTCAGAATTAGGTTTTTGAATAGGGCTTTAGAGACAGGAAAGCCAATGATACACAAGATGTTCTTACCTCACATTCTTGTTCTCTTGCTGAACAGGATTCACTGTCTCCTTCAGTGTCAGTTTCCGAATCCTCTCCCAGACTTATCACATAATTATAGGGACACTGTTCCTGTTGCTGTCCCTGAATGTAATCTCCACCGCTTGTTTCAGAGCTGTTGGAGCATCCCTCAGTACTCAGGTTGCTTATAAAGGGGCAGTTGACAGAATTCAATGTGGTAAAAGTTCGTTGAGAGCAAGGTTCAGGGCTTTCACTGATCCTGATACCCAGCCACGGGCACTCTGTTTTTTTCCCTGGATACACTGGCTCCAAGCACTCTTTTGAAACTGCAGGTGGTATATGGATTTGACAAGCTTCTGTGCTGTAAATGTCACTCCAGAACCCTTTTGCTAGATGTTCTGCTACCTCTCTCTCCACACTGCTTCGGTCACCAGCTGATGTAATGTTAGTGGCTTCCCCCGTGCACAAATCGACCTTTGAGGGTGTGTCACCTTGACTTTCAATTTTGACATTCCCAACCCCAGTACCTGATGCAGTTTTTTCGGCTAAGACTGTGGTGTTTTGCATACTACTGAAATTCAAGTTACCATATTGCTCACAAGTATGTAAAAAAGACACAGTATTGAGTCCATGAGGTGCAGCAGAGTTTTGGGGGAAAGCAGCAAGATCCGTTTTCTCCACTGGACACGACACAGCCTGAGTCACAGAATCTCTCTTTGACTCTTGCTTTTTCTCCATGACTTCCTCCCCTTCTTCCATTTTTACCTGAGTCTCTTCACATTTTGAGACCAGCTGCGTATGTACACACTCCTGAGCTTTTTGTATGCCCTCATTATCAGGTATTTCCTTCTCAAGAAAAGCTGCAATTGGTGGCACCTGAATGTCTTTAGCACTGGAATTTGATTCTGAAGTATGAACTCTGTCATTTCCAAAAGCTTTCTGGAATTTCCTATACTTTGGGCATTGTGAAGACATCCTTTCTAAATGTACAGGATCCCATGTTTGATTAGCATTATCTTGGTGGGCAGGCAATGATCTAGCATTTTCTTCATCTTTACAGAGCTTTGTGTCAGGAGTTTGAATATACTCCTTTTCTAAAAGTTCTTCTGCTTCATCATCTATTTCTAGGTCTCCATCATCCACATTGCCAACTTCAGGGTTTGTTTTCTGACAACGCTTTGTACAACACTTCTTCCGAGGACATTCCTGTTGATCCAATTTGAAGTCCAAAAATTTGAATTTGAGAAACTGAAAGCAAGACTCTTCAATGTTGCGTACACCCAAAAATTCAGCACATTTGCAAACTTCAGACACATTGTCTTTATTTAAAATAAGTTTAGCTGTGTATGCAAACTGAAGCAAAGGACTAAATCCTTTAAGTGTTACCTATTTAAAAAAAAAAGAGAAAAAAATATTAGTATGGCTAATATGAGGTTAAATAGGGAAACACACAGAAGCCAAATTTACCTGGGAGCAAACCACACCAGCAAGACAGAGTATAAGGCAGAAGCAGCAGATTTGTTCCACAGAAAACCTGGCCACACTCATTCTGAAACAAATCTTCTGATACAGCTTTATCCTGTACATTTTGTGGCAATTATCTTCTTCACTGTGATCAATCTCATAAAGTAGTACTGTATTGTCAGAACAAGTGAAAAATACTGCTGGATACTGAAAACCTGTAACTGGATTCCAGCTTTATGAAGATCTCTCTCAAACCCTAGTAGTACCTTAATTACTCTAGAATAAGATCAAAATGCTGTTGGTATTTAATTGTTCCTTAAAGGAGCAATTATTGTTATTTGCTCAGTCCTACACATCACTGGTATAAAAAAGTTCGGAAAACTGGCATTTGACCACACGATTGTTTATTACTATAGCCGCCCACTCCTTTCCTCCTCCCGCAGATGAAGACTTGTACCCAAAAAACAATTATTCTCAGTTTAAAGCCTCTTTGGAGTAGGCAGTTTTAATTGACCATTTTCATCATCATCTCAGTTTTTACCACAGAACAGTTGCCTAACGGAATCCAAAGATGAAAAACACCTGTACCTCTACAAACTGAACAAGATCATCTTCTATACATGAAAGAATTACTAAGGAATCCATCAGAAAACCATAAATCGATAACCATATTACAAATTACATGACATTTCCTTTAGCCTTTCTCTGCAGGTGAAGGATAAAGCAATATGCCCATTATTGCTGCTCAAACTCAAGCTCACATTTCTGCTCCCCTCCGTTACTGACAGGAACAGGACTTTATTCAGCATCAGGTGCTACATAAATGCATTAACTACATTTAAGTCTTCTGCCAGCAAGATAATTAACTACACATGCAATTTAATTTAAGAATCAGTGGGAGGTTGGGTTGTTTTTTTAACAGTTGTTTAGGGTTTGTTGGAGTTTTTTGGGGTGTTTGAGGCTTTTGGGGGGGGAAGGGGGGTGTTGTGTAAAGAACACAAACAACACGACAGGAAGTTGAAGAGATCTGCATGGAGACTGTTCAGCGAAAACTGTCTGTAAACTCTTATGACCCATCTAAATTCTTAAATCACCGTTTGGAATATGCTCTGGAGAGAAAACCACTGATTACACCACCATATTAATTCATCCTTAATAACGTGGGAGAGTGTAAAAGACCATTTTAACCATAAGCTGGCAAGAAGCCTTCAAACTTAGTATAGTAAATAAATTAAAGTGATTTTACAAACAAGTGACATTCACAGACAAAACTAAACAAAACAAATACAATGGTATTTCAAAACTACACATTCTTTCTATACAAGGTTGAAACACTTACTGTTAAAACTGGAAGGATCAAGAGGAGAAAAAAACCCGACACTGTACTCCTTTTGCTTTCCCTTAGAGGTTTCTAGCTGGCTAACCTCAAAAAACAGAACACTAGAAAGACTTGGTTTGGCTGACCTAGAAAAGCAGATCTTGCAGTAGCCATGTATTTAATTTGTGTTTGGGCTGAAAGTCTAGCTCAGAGTAAAAACTTTGGTAGAAACACAGCACAGAACCAGCACCAAGATGTCAATAGTTAGTCTTTACAATACGATAGATATGAAATACTTTAATTCCAAAAATATTTTGGTATCTTGTATTGTGGACTGGAAGCTTTCATTTTAAACTTCAAATACTTCAGATGATTAAAAAGGTTTAAAAAAAAAATCACATGTCAAATCATGTGATCACTGTTTGCCTCTCAAATACGCAGTTTCATAAACTGACTAATTTCAAAATATTTAGCAGTTCCCAGAAGAGAAGCTCAAGTTGCTGACTCTTAAAATGCTTTTACCAAGTGATCAAATGATTACAAGATGAGAATCACTGTTAGTAATTTTGCTTGTTGCTTCTGTAGATTTCAGTTCTTACACCAGTAATAGTAAATTACATTGTGTCCTTTTAAGTCTACACTGTAGTAAATACCAGGATTATTATGTTCCTCCATTTTCTTTACAAACTCCAGTCATTTCTAACTCAGGTTTATTCCATGGGTTCATTGGAACACCAGAGACTATTTTTCCCCTGTCAACTGATGTACATTTCTTATTCTTCCACTATCCTATTTTTTCCATCATCCCAAAGTAAAAGTCTTTCCAACATCAGAAGTTTTACATGCCACTAATTTCCCTCTTTTATATTCTAAATCACAGTATTGTCTCCCTCAGCGTCCTACTTCCCTTCCACCTCAGCTCCCACCATTACTCTTATTTCAATCTGAGACACATTCAGGCTACCAACGTATTAAGGCATTAGGGGGAAAAAGTAAAAGAAGAAATGAACACACTGGCACAGTAAGAAGGCTGAGTAAAAGGGACATAGTGGTATTATGATGTAACAGAATTTTGTAATGAATTCATTGATCAATAGAGAATTGCAAAGACCACTGAAGCTCTTCAAAAAGACCACTTAATCCCTTTAGTTTCCTGTTTTCTATAAAATTAGAAAGATTCTGGTAACAGAAGAATACCTGTGCATTATCTCAGTATGGTACAAAGCCTAAGGTAGCGACTTCACTGAAGTACTGGCTTTCTGAACACATCATCCCTGTGTCAGTCTCGTACATTAACAAGTCTATAATGCAGTCTCCAGCATCACTATAAATACTCACTGATGCACACCTTCCCTCCAACTTTAATGATTCCAGTTGAGTTGCCAACTGTTTGCATGTTATTTCCCACCCCGAAGGCTAACTACCATAAACTACCTCCCAGACAGCCATAGATTATTTAGCAACCAACTCTTTAGATTACCACTACCACTGGGCACAGTCAAGAGTACTTGCAGGTGCTTCACTTTTCATCTGCACGCACAGCATTTCCTACAAAAATCCAGTCGCTTGCCTCAAGCCTCTCATCACTAAATACCAACTGGAATCTTTAAATGCTGCTCCAGATATGTAATAATAAATTTTCTTTCCTACAGATGTCAGGTTCTGGCTCATTCCTGCAATTCTTAAATCAGATTGAATTCAATTTTAGGGGTTAATAAAAAAAGGCAAGTAACTGCAATGCATTTTCTCAGGCTTAAAAGTAATAAAATCAATTAAACCCACCAAGCTGCTAATGCTCAGCATGTAAAAAGGATGGGCAACTGCACATAAGAGTATTCTCAACAGTTCAACAGTAAGCAGCATGCAAGGCATATAAGCAGGGTCGTATTACTCAACCATACGAAACCGCATCTTAATGATACTGATTTAAAGGTATAACCATTTTAAGCTTTAAGTTGTTTATTTATTACTCCAGAAATATTCTCTTTTCATATAGGTGGACTAGTTCTGCAACATCTATTCACAATTTCAGGTCTGGTTTTTTTAAACAAACTTGAATGCTTTGAAACTGGCACACAATTTTAGAAGTGATACATACTTAATTGAAAAGATTACCTCTATGCACTACCCAAGACAGCATTTGCTTATCTTCAGTTTGTGATACATACTGTGATCTGTCTAGCCTTTACCTTAAACAACGGCAGCTTTACAACCTAGAAATTCCTTCCCCTCAGTTCTTAAATCCCCTACCTCAACTTCTCAGTTAAGCAGCCTACCTTAAAACACAAAAGAACAAAACAGATTAGGAGCAGGGGCAGGTAAAATAGAGATGGGAGCAACACTCACCTCTTCCGGTAAAGTGATGATAAGATCAGCATCCACCTGGCCCACAATTCTTGAAAGGAAGTAACTGCTGCAAGCTGCAAGCACAGCTTTGTGCGCCCGAAATCGCTGATCTTCCACTAAAATAGTAACGTCACAAAGAACATCTTGCTTCCTCTGATCATCAAGACTGAGAAGTACATTGGTGCTGTGCACTGAAGATTCATATGCAAAAACCACACTATTCTTCTCACTTAGAGACATTCTGTATCACAAATGGTAGTGCAAGTCTCAGTAGAAAGCATGCTTCTGTTCTTCAAATCTGGCGGGAGACAAAACAAGTTGTACACATGAAATTCATATCCAACATGAACCTACTGATACTAAAACATAAGTAAACTATTAAAAAGAATTAGAACAGACATTGTATGTTTAAGACTATGATTAACAGTATTTCATACATGTTAATAAATACATGCTTATGAACATTTAAAGCACCTTAATAGGTGCATCTTAAAATACTGCTTTAGTAGCCTCACAGACCAGAAATGGCAACAATTTTCATGTGACTTTAGTGATAAAGAACAGATTTTCCCTCAGCAAGTGATTGAGTCATAATTTGACTGCACACCTAAAAATTATTTAAGCTTTCACTTTTGGTTCTCAATATATTCTGACTCCAACACTATGAAAATGTAAAGAAAAATAAAAACTCAGATGCATTAAGCCATAATTCACAAAAAACACTGTGTAAGCTACTTCTGTTTACTGATTCACCCAGTAGAGACTAAAATATTTGTGGTTTATCTCCTTTCATAAGTAGTTTGCTTGCTAAACCAATCAGGCATTGGTAAAATACTCTAGTTTTCTCGCTGGCAGGTTGATGTTTAGTTTTGGTTTTAAAGCAAAATAGTTCTACTTTCCACCTGCCTTAATTCTCTAATGCAGCCTTCCCTCTTCCTTCTCCCACACACACACCCCCCCCATGTGATTTGTCATGCTTGTTAGAAGTTTGCTTTCCCAATCGATCACAATGATTCAGGTCACCTGGCAATGGAATCACTTCTGTGACAGAGCATCCAAGTTATGAAATAACAGTATTTGTTGAATAAACAACAGTAAAAGTTACATGATACTTAAAGCTTTGAAATAAGGTCATATATAACTGTCCTGAAGCTACTCCTGAAGTCCTAGTATTTGCAAAAGAGAGCTGGGACACCTCAGCCCTCCTAGAGAGTGCAAAGTTTAACAGCATTTCCAAGTCTGATCTTTAGACTGTATTTCTAAATTGCTATATTTGGAGTGAGCCTTTCTTCCAGTTTAAAAAAGGAAAAAAAAAACACAAACCTAACACAAAGTGTCCTCACATCTACAGCTCGATCAAGAAACCACATAATCAGATTTGGAACTGTCCTGCAAGTAAAGTGTGGTATTACTACAACAAGTGTTACCTTAACAAATTAAGCATTTAAATTACACTGGATTATTCATCCCAAGAGTTACTGTAACTGAACACAGCTGCGGAGACTCACTTCAGCTGACACAGGACTACCCAATCATTAGATTGTTCAACAGGAGCTGGTATGATAGGTCAGCTCCCACCAACAGAAAACTGTAGCCAATGCAAATCTTGAGTTTTCAAATATGGGAAACTTTCACAACACAGGAAAGGAGGAGGGCATGGCCATTTTTAAACACACCAGGAACAAAAAACAGCCACCCTGCCAGCTATACTCCAGCAGTAGTAGCACAGTACCAGTCTGGACTCTGGCAAAGTGCAAAGCATCAGCATTATCTGCCCTTCCCACTCCCTCACAGGACACTAATTTCAACTTCATGGTCAGCTTCACCAACAAAATGTACAAATCATAACTTGGCAAGAGACAAAGAAAGTAAGTCTGTTTTAGGGGATTTGCTAAAATGTACAAGATTTTGTTTGGTGAAAATAAATGTTGTGAGGGGAAAAAAAAAGTTTTGCAGATCAGAGCTTTCTTCACTAAGCAATAATGTGCTGTTAACCCTAAAGGGCTTAGTTCTGGAAAGAAATACACAGTGTAAACATTTTAATATACCTAATGACAAGACCACAGAGATTTGTTTATTTAGGAAATTCTTAATTTCCACTCAGTTTAAGTGGAAATTATGAAATATTTCCCTGTGAAAGTTATTCATGAAATTCTATTCTTGTAATAGCTTATGAGAAGTAAGCAGTACAACATAAATCATGTATTCCTAATTTATTTGCTTGATCTTCTTAACTTATCATAGTCCTCAGATATTACAGCACATGCAGTTTAACAAAATGACTCTGCATTTGTTAGCAGAACCTTTAAAAAGTTGTGTTTTTTTCCTTTCTTCTTAAATCCCAAGTTCTTCCAACCCTGACAGACAACTCATATCTTACTCTGCTCTTGGGTTATCCCTTACAAAATAATCACTTCCAATATCCAACTCAGCTCATTACACTTCCATAGCATGGAAGGCTACAAGGAACAGCAGTTGGTTTATACACCGAGAGAGAGAGAGAGACTGGGATGTGCACAGAGGACAGTCAACCCCATTTTTTCACTTGTTCTCCACAAGGCACACAACATGCTTTCAAAACTGCGTGCAGCCTGCTCAAAGCACTGATATTGAGCTTCCAATGTTGTTGCTGCCAAAAACAATTAGGTTTCCACACTGAAATACTACCTTCTGTTTCTTCAGAAGTGAAAATAAACATTGAATTTGAGCATAACTCAATACTTTACTCTGACAGAATGCTGTACATCCTAATGTGAAGATTTCATCAGCCAAGTTATATCCCCACTATATTTGAACTGGATACAAGTTTTTGAGATATACAAACTACAAAATGCAGCATTTCAAAATTTAAAAGAACATCTAAAAGAAAATACCAAAAATGACCGAACATAAAACCCACCACACACACCACACTCAAACACTAAATTTCTCTCAGTCATCTTTGTAAAACCTAATTACTGTCATACATGAGAAAAATCAAAAGGAAAAGAACCAGAAGACTGAAAATGCTCCTGAAAACAAAAAGCATGAAACAGGAAAGGGAAAATGTAACCACTGTAAGAAGCTGTAAGACTTTGGAGAAGTACTAGCAGAGGTCAAACTTGTGAATGTCTTAATTCTGTTTTCCAGTTGTGTAATAAAGGCATGGTATCACATTTATGATAGTATTTGTCATGAAAGCCAACTACATTCTCCACAGCAGTGTGTGACTACAAAGTATACTTGTCCATAAGTAGATTCATTACATACATATCCACATCAGCAAGACTCACTGTTGTACAAAAAGAAAAAAACACATCTATCTCTTCAGCAAACTTTTCAATTTTTCACCTACTTTAACTATTCTCTGGGAGCACCCAGAAATTCTAAAAATTAATTTCATTTATGGATGCACAAAGAGGGGAAAAGGAGTGAAGTTGAGAAAATAATTCAATAGTGCTTTTTAGAGAAGCTTTGTAATTTACAAGCTCACACTGTAACTGTCCTACAAGGACAGGCTTTCTTCTAAGCTTTCTTTCTCCCAGTGCAGGTGTCAGTTTTACCTATTTTAAATTTTCTGAAATTGCCAGTCAGGATTTTTTTTCTCCTCTCTCAGACAACTCAAATGAAAGAAGCAACCATTTACTAAGAACAAGGGACACAAACACTACAAACGGTAACAAATTATTTTCCTGGAAACCAGATTAAAACTCCTATTCTACTATGCTATTTTTATTTTAAAGTTAACACTCAGGTAAGGAAAACTAAAAGCAGGCCCATACAGCTTGTAAAAGTATTCCAAAAAGTCAGCAGATGACTGCCTATTCATATCACTGCCCGCTAAGGCAGTATCAACGACCAACCACATGACTGAATGCAAAAGATGCAAAGACACAATGCCACACAGGAATAGTCTTTAAGGTATTTGACACAGCTACCATCAAAAATAAGGCGAGTCCAGAAAGATCTTCCAAAACTTAAGGAGTCCTTACAATGCAAGTTGGAAGGATTAAAGAAACAACATGAAAGCTCACTAACTACAAATCTTCAGTTAGCGGAAGAAAACTAGTACTGTCAGTACAAAAGCATTCCTCAAATTCCTCTCACCTGAAATTCTGCACACCCGACCGCCTCACTATCTTGAAAGCAGCAAAAATACCAATCCAGAACCCAATAAAACTCCCAGAGATAATGTATATAGACACATGCTAGTATGAAAACTACATGTAACACTACAGGCTTGGGGATGAATGGCTGGAAAACTTCCCAATGGAAAAAGGACATGAGGGTGTTGGTCAACAGTGGCTGAATATGAGCCAGCAGTGCGCCCAGGTGGCCAAAGTGGCCAGTGGCATTCTGGCCTGCATCAACAGTGTGGCCAGCAGGACGAGGGCAGTGATTGTACCTTTGTACTGGGCACTGGTGAGGCCGCACCTCGAATCCTGTGTTCAGTTGTGGGCCCCTCACTGCAAGAAAGACACTGAGGTGCTGGAGCATGTCCAGAGAAAGGCAACAGAGCTGGGGAAGGGTCTGGAGCACAAGTCCTGCGAGGAGTGGCTGAGGGAACTGGGGTTGTTCAGCCTGGTGGAGGCTCAGGGGAGACTTTATTGGTCTCTACAACTACTTGAAAGGAGGGTGCAGAGTGGTGGGGGTTGGTCTCTTCTCCCAGGTGACAGGACAAGAGGAAACAGCCTCAAGTTGCACCTGGGGAAGTTTAGATTGGATAGTAGAAAAAATTTTTTCCCCAAAGGCGTTGTCAGGCATTGGAATGGGCTGCCCACAGAGGTGTTTTGAGTCACCACCCCTGGAGGTGTTTAAGAGACATGTAGACGAGGTGTTTAGGGATGTGGTTTAGTGGTGGGCTTGGCAGTGTTGGGTTAACAGTTGGACTTGATGATCTTAAAGGTCTCTTCCAACCTAAAAGGTTCTATGATTCTACCCATGAAGGAACACTTGTAGCTGAATGAATCAAGTTTTGCTTTGAAAACACCACCAAGTATGCTACTATGAAGTTTCCATTCTTTATCGGACAGTGATTTTGAGATAAATGTTTTCACTAAGGGAAAAATACCTTCTCCTAAATACTGGCTACAACACTTTATTCTGCTTTATCAAAATTAAGTAATCCCATCTTTTTTTCTCCCTATTAGCATACAGTTCAGAAGGAAAACTATGCCTAACCATTACCTGTAAAATTGACGTATATTCAGTAAATTTAAACATCTCTACTTTTAATTGACTAGATACATACATATTTATTTTCAAAGCACGCAGAAAATACTTATTATCTTAATGAAAATTAGCACTGCAGCAACATTT